CACTGTACCAAATATAATGAATACTTTATCATTTATTTAAGTGAATGGCTAATTTCTCCTGGCATATTGTTAGCCATGACAACAGGAGAAACTCCCTTCTGTTTTCGAATAGTGCCATGGAATCTTTAACGTCCACCTGAACAGGCAGATAGGTTTAACGACTCATCCAAAACAAGGTGAAACCGGAATTCCCTGAACCAGTCCTGAAGTCCTGGGATCTGTGGGGTGGGCAGATCAAAGGTACCAGACTATAATGTCAGAATGTCTACTTCACAGATAATTACTGCATATTTAGGGAAATACAGAACTTGAATTAGCAACACTCCAATATAAACTTTTGTGAGTAGAACACTGATAATCCATGTGTGAGTGACGTTTAAACGTTTAGTGTCCCATGTAGCAGAAGACTGGTATGGTCTCAGGCATAATGACACACACTGATTCCAAGTTTAGGGGTGTGCAGCCTTAGTAAATATAGTAGCATTGATCCCAGAAGTTCAAATAGAAATGTATGACAGAGTAGGAGGCCAATTGGTCCATTTTTCCATGTAAAATGCAACAGAGTACAAAACAGAAATTTACATGGGATTAATTAACTGCCTCAACTGTATCCAAAGTCGGGTGGAGCTAGAATGAGATGGGATCATGCATATTGTTGCAATTGTTGAATCAATAATAATAATCCTTGCATTTGATCTAGCGCTTTATCACGTCTTTAAGACGTCTCAAAGCGCTTTGCAGAATATATTGTAAAATTAATTGACTATGTATTTTGTGGGAGAAACACTGCAGCCAATTACACACAGCATTGTCCCACAAACAGTCGTGGATTGAGTGACCAAATTATTATCATTTATCTATTTATCTACTTATCTACTTATCTACTTATCTATTTATTTATTTATTCATTTATTTGTGTATTTATTTATTTATTCATTCATTCATTCATTCATTTATTGGAAGGGATTATTATCCCCGGAAAAGCGATCTGCCAATCGACTAACAATCAGGTTCCTATTTAGTGCTATATGAATAGAGGTGTGAGGAGTAAGGAAACTTACACAATGTTTCGCCCTACCAGGAATGGACAGGAGACCTTTGATAAAGTACCATATGAGAGATTCCTTTATAAACTGATGTACTTGGGTAATGAGAGCAAGACATGGATGTGTATTTAAAGAGTCTGGCGGAACAGATGGTAGTTGTTATGGTATCTAGGTGAAGATGGAATATGTTTTAACTGAGTTGTGTTACCAATGAAGTTAGGCTGACACAGTTCAACTTGAACAGAAGGCTCCAGCTCTGCCCAAAGAGAGTCAGGCATTCTACCGACACAAATGCATAATACTAAATTCCAGTTAGCCAGGTACCAAACTGCCTGAAGTCAGTTTACACTGATGGAAAAAGACATCCAGAGTTTCTCGATTTTAATTTATCTTCTGATCTTCTACTTTAAATCTGATACATTATTGATATCCATTTCGTGAAGCCTGAATACTGGTGTGTCACAGCTCTAGGGACTTATTGCTGGGACAGAAGCGATGGTTTGATTGCTAAAAGTGGGAGCTTAATTTAAAAGGTGGCCTGCAGTCAACAAAAATTAACTTGGCAATAACAGATGGTAGCTGTTTATTCTATACCTTTGGCTATGTATTTTAAAACTATCAAATCCAATTTACATGCCTTGACATCTAATACCTTTTAGAACGTCTTTAAAAACTCAGTTTGAACCCATTTGGTATCCTGTATTGTCCAAGGTATTGCTTCGATATCAAATCACGTACCGGGGAGCTATAAATCTCTATGGATGTCATTTGTTTTGCATCTGTTGAAAAATAAAAGGGCGTAAGTTTGTGTTATTCCAAACAACGTTGAATTCTTGCAACATTGCAACACAGCAAAACAGAATGTATTCAGGAATACTGCATTTCCCCTTCCCCACCCACAACATTTAGATTTAATATTAAAAATATTTAAAGCTATTTGGTGTTCACTATGTGAGGTTATTAATAATAATAATCCTTGCATTTGATACAGTGCCTTATCATGTCATTGATATGTCTCAAAGTGCTTCACAGAATATATTGTAAAGCGGAATGACTGTGTATTTTGTGGGCAAAACGCGGCAGCCAATTGCGCACAGCGTTATTGTGGCTGCATTGCAGAGATGTTGTATAAGTGAAATAGATTTGCTTTTCTCCATCCTTAAACCCTTAAATTTGGTGATTGTCATTGAATGTTTTAATAAATGTAAAACAGTGAATGTGAACATCATTGGATGTTGTTTCAAACGTAAAACATTGAATGTGAACCCCCATCACTAGATGTTGTGAGCAAGAATCAATTCACAACATAGAAAATAGCTAGATATGCAATGTGTAACCAAGAACATTTTAAGAGGCAACTATAAGAAAACACAATGTGGGAGACGATTTTGGAGGACAGGACAATACTGTGGTGATGTATGGATATATATTGCATCTCCCACTCATGGTGCTAATTAGGTGTCAGCCTGGCTCAGTTGGTAGCAATTTCTCATCTGAATCAGAAGGTTGTATTTACTTCAAGTTCCGTGTCAGGACATTAAATTCACAGTCTCGGCTAAAGCACCAATATGTTGCTGGGGGAGTGCTGCATTATTGGAGGTGCCATCATTTGGGTGAAATATTAAAATGAGGTCCCATGCAGGTGGGCATGAAAGATCCCATTGCATTAATCAAATAGTGTGTCCCAATGTCCAGGCCAACAATCCCACAGATTCGCTGTCATGTTCACCTCCAAAATACAGTCACTACACCTTACAGTAAAATCTTGCAAAGAGCTTTGAGATATTGTCCCGACATGAAAGGCTCCATGTCAAATGCAAGGATTATTACTACGGTTATAACATTTTAAAACATGTATTTTCATGGTGATTATTATTAGTATTGCTACTGTATTCAGAGGTGGGTTTTCTTCATGCATCTGAAAATTGCATTGCAAAATGGAGCAAATTAAATGTCATTCCCACAGACTCACAAAGGTTCACTCCTGTCATGCGACTGGTGCTGTGCGTTATGCTCTGCGTGTAAATGGGGAAAATCCACAGCACTAGCAGGTACACCCACTATTTTAAGTCGTTTGACAAAAACATGCAACATAAACACAATATGCCCTGCATCCATGACTTCTGAAGGACACTCTGAATAATGTCAGATTTACATGAAAGGGGAGATTCTCTGAGTGATGGTGAATTTGTGGAACTTTGTGGGTCAGAAAATCTTGTTTTCCACCCGATTATAAACATATCGACCTTGGCAGGTGCATACATTTACTGACAAATAGAGAATAAGATACACATCCACAAAGGTCAGTGAATTTACCAGTGATCAAAGAATCACGCTTGCATTGAGTATTAGCTGAAGCTTCACTACTTTAAATTGACCGCCCAAATGGAAGCCCATAGGTTGCTGCCAAGCCTGAAAAATTGATTAATAGATATGGAGAAGGGAAAATGTATTGTTTTATAAGATTGTAAAATATTGAAGTCCTTATCGAATCTGTTATGAAATGTCACATTTTTTACCCGATGATCACTCTGAAGCTTTTAAAATATTCCATTTCTGAAACTCCTAATTTTCTGTTCCATTTCACAGCAAAAATCAATAAGGACACTTTAAATCCCAATTGGTCTAAATGAACTGCAAGGCAGTCTGCGCAACATACTGTAATAATATAGTGCAATGAATTACCAATCAGTCTAAGCGATACTGAGAGCCAAGGAGGATGTCAGTTTGCAATGGAAACGATATGCCTTTCGTAACAGATGAAATGACAGAACCAAAATCACAAACTAATCAACAAACTAATTGGGAATTAATCTTGTGAATATCTTGTTTTATCCTGTTCTGTGGATCAGTTTGTCACTGATGGATCGTGAAGTGAAGCAATCCCCAGAAAACAGCAATCTGGAACAGGAAACCTGCACCTAACACAACTGAGCTCAAGTACAGAGCTCTGCTAACGAGTGGTTACTTTTCTAATATTATTAATGTGACCAATGGACTATTATCAATAGATGTTTTTCTGATTAAAAGTTTTCTGGAATCAAGAACTTTATAGGACAGTCGATGCACTGATTCCATTAAGGACTGGTGTTCAAAAGAGCATTATGTGCCAATTTAATGTTAATGGAATGGGAAATTGCATTGAACTCTAAAAGAAGAATATAAAAGGAGCAGCAGTTTGCCTACTATTATTTATATACTTTTTTTTACTTATGTTGCATACAATACAATTCAATATTCAAAAACCAGATGCATGGCATTAATTCCAATTTTCAAGTGATGATTTTATTCATGATTTATGTTATTAATTTGGGATTAGAAAAAAATACTCCACACTCTCGTATTCCTGAAGAATGCAAAGGTACTCAAGCCTTTCTTTGGCCAAGAAATCTCCAGGGAAGCAAAGTGCTAGCCTTTATTAGCTCTCTACTGTCTTTAAACATTCAAGTTTTTTTAAAAAAATATATCAAAACCATAAATTTCAAAAACTGGAAGTTGCAATTAAAGCAACACATCCTAGTTTGCAAGTATTCCATTTGAAATTTAACAATAATAATCCTTGCATTTGATAAAGCACCTTATCACGTCGTTGAGACATCTCAAAGCGCTTCACAAAATAATCCTTGCATTTCACAGAATATACTGTAAAGTGAATTGACTCAATAGTCTGTGGGAGAAATGCGACAGGTAATTGCGCACTGCAGTGTCCCACAAACAGTCATGGATTGAGTGATTAAATTATTATTATTTTTTAAATTGGAGTTCTGATATGCAAATCTGGGTGTCTGCATTGTAAATTTGTGTATCTTGTTGGTTTTCTTATATTTTGGGGGATTTTAGGCTTTCAGCTTCACAGTGAACATAGTGCATTGATTGATCAAGCAATATTTTTGACCTTTTCTAACTATCTTGCATTATATTACACTGACACTGATAACTCGGAACACTTTGCAGCCAGGTCAAACAACTGCCTTTGATTCTCACTGAGTTTGCTGACGTTCACCTCCATGACTTGGTGAAGCGAATGCGGGCGAGGACATCCCTATACAAAGAAAAGTTGATTGATCGGGATGCCTCTTCATCAGATGAAAGTATAATAGACAGTAAGTTCTACATTTTACCTCCTCTAATAAATTGTGCAATGCTTGGTTGTGGTGTGTTTTAATGGGATTCCCTAATAAGAAATCAGAGTCATACAAATTGGAATTCCTTATGGCAACGTGAAGTACATCATGCCAACCCACAGGAAAACTGTTCTGATGCAATCTACTCGCAGAGTGAAATGCCTGCAAGTCAAGAGGGATTCTAAGGAGATAATAATAATAATCCTTGCATTTGATATAGCACTTTTCACATCTTCCAGACATCTCAAAGCGCTTCACAGAATATACTGTAAAGTGAATTGACTGTACATTTTGTGGGCAAAACGCAGCAGCCAATTGTGCACAGCAGTGTTCCACATACAGTCGTGGATTGAGTAACCAAATTATTATTGGTCATTTTTCTTGAGGAATTATTATCAAGCAAACATTGAACAAAGAAAATATGGTGGCTAGAAACTTGCCCAAGGTTTCGCCCTGCCGGGATTCAAACCCAGGTCTCTCGCTTGCGAGGCATGTGCTCTAACTACTGAGCTACAGGACTCCTACCTTATTAAGGAAACATTGAGATATACCACAAATGATACCCCGTTGTCTACAAAACATTGATGCACATTCATTCAGAAAGGATAAATTTGTTACTCTTTAAGTGTTCGGGGTGACAATTCACAGCAAATAATCCAGTTAAATGATCACACTGACAGAACTTGTGGTCACCAAACAAAGGTGGCAGCACACTCTTCATGGTAAGTGGTGCCACCTTTCTTTCAGACAGATTCACTGCTATTTGGGACTTATTTGAAGTAGGGTGAGCTTGTATTGTAAATTCTAGCCACCATATTTTCTTTGTTTAATGTTTACTTTCTAGGCTTGATCTTCTAATCAGGGGTAAAATTCATATTGCCCCCCAGCCAAAAAGATAGATATCAATTTGCCTTAGTCGATAGCTCTTTTGTCTCTGGGTCAGAAGATTGTGGATTTAAGCCTCATATCAGGATTTCGAGCTCGCAGTCTCGGGTGAGGAAGTACTGTATTGTCTGAGATGCTGCCATTTGGGTGAGATGCTGAAGTAGCATCCAATCTGCCTGTTCAGGTGTACATTAAAGATCACAAGACACTATAGGAAAAGGGATGGGAATTTTTCCTGATGTCAAGTCAGCAATCCTCCAGATAAATTGGTCATTCACTTTGTGGCTATTTGTGTGCAAATTTTCTACTGTGTTGGCCTGCAAATAGTACAGTCAACAATTTACAGCAAAGAGATAATTGTGATTGGAATCACGGGTACATTCCTAAATCAGAATGATGAAAATATGTACAAATTACAAAAGTATAGGCTTCTCAAGAAAGAGAGGAAGGATAGGAAAGGGGGAGTGGTTTCCATAGGTGTAAAAAACACTTGGGAAATTAAGGTAGTTGAGCCAATGTTGTTAAATGTGTTCGATGGGAAATGAACTAGACTAGCATTTGGGACTCGTTTGTCTTCAGGGGAACTAAGACAAAATGTGGGGAAGTGTTAAATGGAGTGCCTTAAGGGGTTGTACTGGGATCTCTACCATTTCCTCATGTGAGGTAGTTACATTTGCAGATGAGGGGGAACTGTGGAATCAGAGGAGACAGCAAAGGTCTTATGAAGAGAACTCAACAAGGTATGCACATAAGCTGATCAGTGCTAAATGAAGTTCAATACAGACAACTGCAAGGAAGTATGTTTGAAGTCAAAAATAATTGCATAGTTATTTATTTCCAGTTTGGCTAGGCCAAACCAATCTTATGTTTATTTAAATTATGTTCAGCTCCAGTCAAAAAGCCCCCTCATGCGCCAAAAGAAGAAAAAAAAGAAGAGAAAAAGGAAGAGAAAAAACCTGAAGAGGAACACTATTGTGACATGTTATGCTGTAAATTCAAGAGACCTCCAATCACCAAAATCATCCAAAAACTGAAGCTCCCCAACAGCTTTGATCCATACACAGGTAATAGCCACCAATGCAAACAACATTTAACTTCACACAAGTTCAAACTAGCAAGATTAAATCTTCCCAGTGAATTAGAACTGTATCTTCCCTTTCAGGGAGTATTCAAACTTTTGGACTATAAAGCTGAAACTGATGCATGCAATTACTGTATAATGCTTACTCCTACGCTGTAACGCTGGTCATCGCAAAATCATAGAGAGTTTACAGCAAATTGTCCAGGACTCATCTTATTGCTGGTGCCAACTACACTAATCCCATTCCCCTGCTCTTTCCCTGTACTCTTTTTTTAATTTTTCCTCAAGCATCCAATTTCTTCTTACTTTTTTTAAAATCTAGTAATATATGATAATAATGTAGTTTTAACATGTAAGCTTAATGATTTTATATGTACCAAAGTACAATAAAATGTATTGCTGTTTTGCAATAACATCCACAAAACATTCACTCCATTTTACAGTATCTCCTGCGAGGCACTTTGAAATATTTTCTTGATGTGAAAGATGCTGTATCAAATGCAAGGCTTATTATTATTATTAGCATTTTAAAAATCTTGCTCATAAATGTACAGAGATTTGTTGGTCAGGGCCCAGAAATGTGTAAAAACACATAAATTCAATTAATTTATTACTAGACTTCAAGATCCTCACCCTTGTCTTCAAATCCCTCCACTCCTCTGCACCCCCCTACCTCTCTGACCTCCTCTCTCCTCACAACAGTGCCGTTCTCTTTGACCGAGCCTTCAGCTCCCCTCTCGACTCTCTTCCCCCTCCTCGCTCCCTCCCTTCCCTCCCCTTACCCTGACCATTTCCCCCCTCCTCGCTCCCTCCCTTCCCTCCCCTCACCCTGACCATTTCCCCCCTGCTCGGGTCATGACCCAACTGTGCAGCGCCTTGGGACGTCCTCCTGACGTGAAAGGCGCTTTATAAATGGAATCTTGTTGTTGTTGTTGTTGTTGTTGCCTTCGTTCCACTGGGTCTGTTCTCCTCCTTGTCCCCAGAGTCCTCCGCTCCACCCTTGGTGGCCGTGCTTTCAGCCACTATGCCCAGAGGCTCTGGAACTCCCTTCCTCTCTCCCTTAGCCTCGCCCCCTCTCTTCCTATTTTCAGGTCTCGGCTGAAGACTTTTCTTTTCAACTGCACCTTTGGTCACCTTCCTCCCCCTCCCCCTGGCTCAGCTTCGGGATCCATTACTGTAAAGCGCTCTGAGACGCTGTCCAGGGTGGAGGGTGCTATATAAATCCAAGTTGTAGTGTGGGAAGAATATTGGTCAGGACACTGGTTGGTACCGTTGGACATTGCCCGATGAGTTTGTTCCTTGCAAGGCAGATATTATGCACCACAGTATGCAAATTTCTGTTGTTTCTGAAGAATTTTCACATCTTGAAGGTTTACTCATTTGGCCCAAGTACAAAAATTCAATACAAAATATTGCACTACAGTCTGACTTCTTAATCCTTCATTCTAACTCCTTATGTTTCACCTTTCGCTCTATAGAGCAGTGAGATCAGAAGTGCTTGGGTCAGGTTAATGGTGAGCAAAAGCCATCGTTGTCACTGGGGAGACACCAGGCAGGAATGTAAATCTGTTTCAAAAGAAACAAATGTTTTTGTAACCTTTGTTTAAAAGTTTATACCTGCAGGTCAACAGCTACAGATGTTGAACATTCTCCTACAAAATACACAATCACTACATTTTACAGTACATCATTTGAAGCACTTTGAGACATCCTTCCAATGTGAAGGATTATTTATTATTTGTGACTGCAATAGCTCAGCTATTTCTAAGAACACTTCATGCCTCTGGGTAAAAAGCACCACCTGTAGACTGAGATGTAGCACACTAACAGTTCCAGACAGAAGTTCATCTAGGCTCCCCATCCAACTTCCGAAAAGATTTCTTAGAGACATCTAATAAATCCAAAACCTTTAATTTTCAGAAACTTGTCTAGGTTCAGTTTAAAACAATTCTTGTTTCTCATTGTTTAACTTAGCTCGTAAGGAAGCATTCTCACTGCTAGGGCTGAAGATTATGGGTTCATGCCCCATGTCACTTCTGAGCTCACAGTGTAGACTGACACATCAATACATTGCTGAAGAAATTAGTTAAGGTACTAACTGCAGATAAGTTGGTTGTTCACTTTGTGGCCATTGTGAGATAACATCATATCCAAATTGTCTACTACAACCATTTGCAAATGCAGTCACTACACTTGACATGAATTCCCTATAAAGTGATTTAAGACATATATCAAATGAAAAAAATATTTTTGTTCCAGCTGCCTATCAAACTATTGCTTAAACAAATTTCTGCACTTTCTATTCACCTTCATTAACCTTACTTTGAAGTTATGACCTTTTGTTCTGCTACTCTCAATGTAGAAGACAAACTTTCTAAAGTAGCATTTACACTGAAAGTATCAGGGATAATTCCATTACATGTGCATATTTTGTTCCACTCAGTATGTTTAGCCAATCTGTCCCGAAGTGCGATGGAACTCTCAATCCAGTTTGGCTACTCTTTACCATGGTGATGGATTTCTGCATTAGCCAGCTAACCTCCCAAAATGTCCCTGACCAATTACAATTACATGTCGTTCAATTTTAAATGTATTTTGTAAATATTAGATCCTACTTTTAGAATTGCAAATTTTCTAAATTGACCAGAAAGAGTAGAGCAGTGTTAGCCAACAGCAACAACTTGGAGCAGAAAAATCACCAGAGCCAAATGCTCATTGATCAAACTGATCAACATAGAGTTTTATAGTGAATTACTGCCTAATGCCACAATGTTTCTTATTTTAAGCTGAAGTGTATTGTTTGTAATTTTTCACTAAGTCTTGTGCGTTGTATTTCAGATCGTTTTTACATATCATGGTTGTTCATTGTGTCCCTGGCCTGGAATTGGAACTGTTGGTTTATCCCTCTCCGCTGGGCCTTTAACTATCAAACACCAAGCAATCTTCCATATTGGTTAACCATGGATTATATTTGTGACTTCATCTACGTGATCGATATGATGGTCTTCCAGGTCCGACTCCAATTTGTGAAAAGAGGCGACATAATAGTGAGTTTCTTCTTCCATGTTTTGCTGAAGCACAGAGGCAGCCAACATTTCAGTACCTGTACCACAACAACAACAAGATTCCATTTATAGAGCCCCTTTCACATCGGGAGGACGTCCCAAGGCGCTGTACAGTTGGGTCAGGACCTGAGCAAGGGGAAAATGGTCGGTGAGGGGAGGGAAGGGAGGGAGCGAGGAGGGGGTAGAGAGTCGAGAGGGGAGCTGAAGGCACGGTCAAAGAGAAAGGTCTTGAGACCGGCCTTGAAGGAGGAAAGGGAGGAAGCGGCGAAGGCACTGGGGGATAGAGTTCCAGAGCCTAGGGGCTGAGAGGCTGAAGGCCCGGCCACCGATGGTAGGGCGGTTGGGGCGGGGGATGTGGAGCAGACCGGAGCCAGAGGAACGGAGGGTACGGGCAGGTAAGTAGGGGGATAGTAGGTCGGAGAGGTAGGAGGGAGCAAGGCCATGAATGGCCTTGTAGGTGAGGATGAGGATCTTGAAATCGATCCTCTGGGGGATGGGGAGCCAGTGGAGGCGAGTGAGGGTGGGAGTGATGTGGTCCCGAAGCCTGGTGCGGGACAGTACATGAGCTGCAGAGTTCTGAATGACCTGCAGCTTGTGGAGGGAGGTGCCGGGAAGGCCGCGAGGAGAGAGTTCCCATAGTCCAGCCTTGAGGTGATAAAGACGTGGACCAGAGTTTCAGCAGCGTGAGGGATGAGGTAGTGCCGTAGTCTGGTGATATTCCGGAGGTGATGGAAGGCGGTGCCAGTTGTGGTGCGGATATGAGGGAGAAAGGACAGCTCAGGGTCGAACAGAACCCCGAGGTTCCTGACTGGCTTTGAGAGGTGGAGAGTGCAGCCTTGGATGCTGATGGTGTCAGCGCCTGAGGTGCGGAGGCGCTGACGCGAGCCAATCATGAGGGCCTCAGTTTTACGCACGTTGAGCTGAAGAAAGTTGTCTATCGTCCAGGAAACCAGACATATGCAGATGCCCATTCTTAAAATTAATGTCGATTTAGTGGCTTACTTCCCAACAGCTGCTGAAAAAGGACAATGTGACAAAATGAGTAAATCAAGAGAGTAAAAAAAGTGTATCCTATTGTGGAAATTATATTTTACTAAACTGCAGATGTGTAAATCAACAGACAAATCCTTATCTTAAATTTGCAGAAACAGTTGAAAAATAACCTGCTTCTTAACTAGATGAATTGAAGTGCCAGAGATGTCCATCACTAATTTCATTGCCCAGACAGAGATTTTATCTGAGGTTAAGAACCTAGGTGAGATGTACAGCTGTGGGGAGGGAAGAAGAAAAGCTGAAACCATTCGCCCAACTACTACAATTGCATCTCCTGTCAATGAATCATAGAGCAGTGTGTGGGATAATAACTGGAACTCAATAAAGTGTAATATGCATCAATCAGATCCAGCTCCACAGTACTTCCAGTAAGAATAAGACTCACAGTGCTTCCAATAAGTTAAATAACTCATTCGCTGCATATAGCTATAGACTTTCATTGCAACTCACAGCAGTTCTGTATATTCACAATATTCACACCATTTGGTGGCTTCTCAATTCTAGGGGCTTCTCAAACAATGCCGAGCAACATCTTCAGTATTGAATGAAATTACAATGATATATATAAAAAAAAGTATGAAATACAGTGACAGAAGTTATATTTGTAATATATATGAAGAGCTTGTGAATATTTATAATGGTGTCAGCCTGGTTCAGTTGGCAGTACACTTGCCTCTGAGTCTGTGTGGGTTCAAGCTCCGTTCCAATGTAATGCTGGGAGAGCACTGCAGTGTTGGGAGATGCCATCCTCTGGATGAGATGTTAAACTGAGGTCCTGTCTGCCTGCTCAAATGGATGTTAAAGATCCCATGGTACTATTTGAAAGAGAAGGGATTTTTTCCCAGTGTCCTGGTCAACAATTTTAAAATTGTTCACTTCATGGCTATTTGAGGAATATTGCTACGTGCAATTCAGCTGCCTCCAAATACACAATCCTCTAACAACAATGACTTGCATTTATATAGCGTACTTCTCAAGTTAGCATTCGGTAGCTCAACAATGACAATACTTCACACTCCGTCAAGACTAACACTAGGACTCAGTGGTCTCCCGGTGTCCTGGCCAACAGCCCCACAAATAAACTTGGCTATTTGTTTCATAGCTATTCGTGGAACATTGCTGCCACATTCAAATAAGCAGACACTCCACAGTAAATTCCCGACATAAAATGCGTTATACCAAATACAAGGATTATTATAATCATCCTGTTGTTCTCTGTACTCCTCTTGGGCCTGCCAGGCACGTAGTGTTGCAGTGATCGGAATTATTTGTAATACTCCAGGTATGACCTGAGCAGAGCTTGACTTCTGGGAATCTGTGCTCAACAGTTTTGACAAATTATCCCAGCATCCTGTTTGCCTTATGTATTGCTATCACTTAACAGAAGATTTCTGAAATGCTTTGTGTCAATAAGAGTTAGAGCATTGAGCTATAAGCAAAGATTAGACAAGACAAGAATTCTTCAATCCTGAAAAGAGATGTCCAGAGGGGACCTTGTATAGATGTATAAAATTTTAAATGGGATTGAGAAAGTAAGCCCAGAAGAAGACTTTTTGATGCACCGAGACAGCAGAATAAGGGAACATAGGTTTACGATTGCAAAGACTAAATTCAGCAAGTATTTATTTACCCAGAAGGTAATTAGCGACTGAAACAGGTTACCAGGAAGGAAGGTTGAGGCCAGACTGGACTCAATTTAAAAAAAAACAGCTTATTGTTGTGAGTTAAAGGTGGGTATTCCGCAAGAATGCAATCAAATTGGATGAAAGGCATTTTTCTCTGAACCTCTCATGAATTTAAAACATTTTAACTTGCTAAGATGCTATATCAATAATAATATAATAATCCTTTCTTTGATATAGGCCCTTAGTAAGTCATCATAATGTCTCAATGATCTTCAAAGAATTTACTGTAAAGTGTCTGTAAGACAAACACAGCAGCCAATTTGTGCACAGCTATGTCCCACAAACAACCATGAGATGAATGCTAAATTCTATCGGAGTGATTGTTGGCCAGGACACCTGGAGCAACTCCCTTAAAAATGCAAGGATTGTTATTCTCTTACATTCAATAGAGTTTCAGTATGGAAGGAATTTGGACCTGGACTAATCTGGTTAAACATAACATACAGTGGAACGTCATTTTAATGCTTTGTTTGGATCCCTAAAATTGCATCCCAATGATTTCTCTCTTCCAACTGTATTGAATTTATTTTCCCATCCCCGAGCAAAGATTCCATTCTCTTGCACTGATATTCTTCACATCGTAAATACAAACAATAACCAATTTTTTAAAAAATAATTCATTGGCAGGATGATTGATTGATTTTTCCATTTTCTTATCTTTTAGAAAGACAGAAAAGAAATGAAGAAGAATTATCAACAATCATTGAAATTCAACGTAAGTATTATTCAAAACAGTGGAGCTCTGTTACAACACTTGGGATCCACAAAATGTAGTTGGCTTGATAAATGATACACACATTCTCTGTCTTAGCCAGTTCCCAATACTACAAGACAAAATGTCAGAATTCTGGGTCTTCAGGTCACTGTCAATAAAACGTCTTGTTTGCCGCATATGCATAAAACAGGACATTGGCAGAAACCTCTGGAAGTCAAACGTTTTTTAGTATGGGAAATGGCTGACTCTCAGATCATTAGGTCTAATGATCATAAGTTAATGACCCGAAAGTTGCCCATTTAAGCACTAAATGTGGGGCCAGCAGTATGCATGCAAGAGTGAATGGGGTTTGCAGTGCAACCTCATTATAAGCAAATATGTGCTATTGTGAATTATTTTATAACAGCTCTGCACTTCAATCTTGATTAAAAACCATTACTTGTACGTAACCTGACAAATTATTTATTGCAAAAATCAGATGTACAGTTTTCTTTCATTTAAACTTTGTTTCCACAGTATGATTTGGCATCAGTAATCCCATTTGATTTACTATATCTGGTGCTTGACTGCAACCCACTGTTTCGAATGAATCGCTTGCTAAAGGTAAATGTATTTCAATTATTATTCAGTGTTGGTATTGAACTTTGGAGAGTAGTTGTGTTAATGCCCCATATTGTGATTTTGACCTCATATTTTAGGCTGAAACTCCATGCAGTGCTGGGGGAGCGCTGTGCTGTATTTTCCGAGGTGCATCCTTCAAATGAATCATTAATCCAGAGTCCCATCTCCCTGTTTAAATGTACGTTAAAGATCACATAACACTATTCGAAAATAGAAGGGAATTTCTCCTGGTGTCCTGGCCAACAATCTCCCAAAGAAAATTGGTCATTTTAGCCTCCTTCAAGTCCCGCCTCAAGACCCTCCTCTTCGACCATGCCATCGGCCACCCCCCTTCCCCTCCCTTCTATCCCCCTGACCCCTGCTTGGGTCTGAAATGCTGTACACTATCCAGCGCCTTGGGACGTCCTCCCAAAAGGCACTATATAAATGTAATCTTGTTGTTGTTGTCATTCAATCCATGGATATTTGGTGGGACATTGCTGTGCTTTTTTTATATTGATGGCCCCTTGTTTTGGACTCACCAACAACTGGAAGAGTTTATAAACAACTCATCAAATGTTTTTCCGCTGTTTACACATCAGCTAATGCTTTGCAATTTAGACATCAGAAGACATCTCAATTTTAGGCAAACTAGAAACAGAGATCATACTGCCATGAGACTATGCTGAGTAGACTTTATAGAGGGAAATTCCACCTGGGTCAAGGTTTACTCTATGTGGCATTTTAGAGTATCCCAAATTTCACTTCACATGAGGGAGTGGTGAATAGAAGTGTATGGGAGGAGTGAAGAGTGGGTGAACACTTGTGCGGAGTATAAACACTGCTAAGGACTGATTGAGCTGAATGGCCTGTTTCCCATGCTGTACATTCTTTGTAAATCTTTGAATCACCAAAATAAAACAGCTTTGGATCAATCAATGATATAATGAGCAAGTCACAGGTATGAGTTATAATTTTCTAGACATTACTTTTCCCTGATTTAGACTTTCCAAAATCTGTCGTGGAGAAAGTCAAATTGGAGAAATTAATTTTACTTTTCAATTTGACATAGACTTTTAAATGTACAACAGCAAAATGCTGAATGAGAAAGATAATGGTTGGAAAATTACTATTCAAGCCTGTCCTGGGGATCAAGATCCTCCCTGTCATCTACAATAGGTAAGGTGGGGGCCTTACTGAAAGTCCAAAGGCTAAGGAAGCCTAGTTGGACTATGGAAGCCCACAGAGCCTGAAGAGCAGGTGAGAAAGGTGTGCTCCCATGATTCCAGTGCAAGGTATTTCAGGGCAGCCTTTTGTGGAAGCTGTGGGAAAGGGAAGGAGGCTTCTCTGCTCTGTAGGAAGCCCAAGCAGCCCTAATGGGGGATCTTCAATCAGGACACCAAATGCCCTGGGACTTTGAGGCTTTTATACTTAATTCTGAGGGGGCCTTGAGTCCAGAAAGTTTGAGAACCCTTGACAACTCCCTTCATGCCTTTGCCCCTCCCTACTTCTGTGATTTTTTCCCCTTCTACGCAGCAAACTCAGCCACTCTGTCCCATCCCCTGGAACTCCCTCAATCCTTCCATTTCACCCTTCTCTACCTTGCTTCTAAAGCTGCCTAAAACCCCTCCTTTTCAACACTGCTACGGTCATCCTCCTCCCCCTTCCCTATCGCCCTGCTCGGTGCCTGACATTGTCTCTCTGTGAAGCTCTGAGACATTACTCTAGATGAAGAGCACTATATAAATGCAATTTGTATTGTTTTTTGTTTTTGTGTTTGCAGAAGCACTTTTTTGAAAATGAATCAAAAAATACCATAAAAACAAATGAGCAAAATCTGATTAGCTGATTTATTTTGTACTCTGTTATTTTGTCAAGAATAGTGATAATAAATGTGGCATGTGATATTATGATCATCACTGGTGAAAAATGCAGTATATGCTGTGATAACAACAACAGCTTGCATTTACATAGCACTTCACGCAGGGAGCACTTAAAAACTGGGGCATCAATGATTATAACAAATGATATATTACGCTCCTGGTGATAATTTAGTTAATGACTGCTATGGGTGAACACTGCCCCTAAATTTATTCAAATTCATGTGCCTCACTCAATGACCGCAATAATTGGTTTCGGCTCAACCATCTGAAAATAATTGCAGGGATGAACAGTTCACTCACTGTAATCATTTATTAGGACCTTGCCAACACTGGTATAATTATCACTAATGTTAGATATCACCAATATTTTTTATCAAAGCAAACACTGTATTTTTACCCGATATGAGAGCTTAATTTGGGGATTTACTTTAGCAATTTAAATACTTTGACATACATCAGACAACAGAAAGTGGAAGTAGATTTAGAGTTCCAAAAGGTAATTTCGGGGCAAAAAGCATGAAGTATTTCTTTATTTGGAAGTTAATTAATTACTGGAAATGATTACCAGGAAGGATGGTTGAGGCCAGAAAGCTATTCAGGAAACAGATTTATGCTGTGATTAGGTCAGATGGTCTGAAGGACCTTCTTCATCCAAACCTTGCTTGTGATCTTCTGACTCCAAATGAGCACATTCATGACCAAACTCAATTCTGATCCAAGGATTGAATTACTATATGTATCAAATGGTTTCCTGTTCATTCCATTGTATGACATTCCTGATGTGATGTAATACTCCTTTGTTATGGCGTTTTCCCCAGACTATCGTTCAATGTGAATTGCTGAATGAATAATTAAATAGGCTTGTAAAAATCCCGATCCAGACAAAATTCTGTTCCAAGTATAGCATTTCTTGGCAACCTAGCTCCCCAGTTAATGAGAATTCAACTTCACTGCTATTCCAGTACTTTTACAGGACCACATTTGAAGCACAAGAGCAAGGTTTGTGTGAAGTAATTCTGTAAAGCATATATCAAAACATGCATCATGATATTTTGTTTAACTGTGGTTAATATTGCTTAGCTTCCCTATGGATTAGTGGAATTAAGTTCATTCAGCTGAATCGGATCAAGCCCAGAAAACAAATATTCAACAAAATAGAAGTCACTTCAATGACTAGCAACAAATTACATTTAAAAAAAAGTTATATTAAAAAATGGCTTCAAATGAAGTGGCAGCAGACGATACCCTCTTTTTGGAGGGTCTGCCTCCACCTAATTGCAATTATCAAATAAACCATAAAAAGCACAACCAGAGTCACAAATTCCACCCTAGTGAATATGTCTCAACTTAAATTTCTTGGGTTTTTACTTTTCTCTAGTACTCTTCGTTCTTTGAATTCAGTGATCGAGTGGAGTCGCTCATGAAAAAAGCTTACCTATACAGGTAAGCAGTCACACAATATATTCAGCTTCAAAGAATATATTCAGTGGATAGTGCAATACCGCTTCTGATTTCAGATTCTGTACACAGATCAAAGTGCCAAGTTAGGTTCATCATTTTAACAATGAAAATGGTCTAAGTGGTGTTTCAACTATTTTAACCTCAAAATACAATGCTTATGATTTGAATGTATGTTGAAAAAAACATAACATTGAATCCTAATCTGACATAAGACAAAGTATTCTAAAATGACTGCAGAGGAAGTCTTCTGTCACTAATGCTTACACAATCAAACCCTCCATTCTGCTTTACAGAGTTGTACGAACAACAGGATATCTGCTCTATGTTCTACATATAAATGCAAGTTTATATTTTTGGGCTTCAACGTATGAAGGCATTGGAAGCACTAAATGGGTCTACAATGGTAAAGGAAACAGGTAGATCTATCCCAATTTCCTATTGGAATGTTATTGTTGACAAACAAGTAACAGAAGCTTAATTAGTTTAGTTTAACAGTAAAGCCATTTATTGCCATCACATCTCTGCATTTTGAGTTTGTAAATTCTACAGTCATACTTCTAGTATAGACGTCCCCAGATCTTGATCAGACAATCTGCAATGGAATGTGTTCCTTTGATCTGTCTTCCAGTTTGCTCTTTCAGCTTCTTAAGGCATTGACTCATGCCATCATGTGGTTCTAAAAGTATCAGCTAGCAATGTCCTCTGCTCCCTCATTCAAGTAACCCCATACTGCTGTCCTGATTAAAGTCATCTATCTCAGCCCCAAGAAAGGAACTAACCTGGGACCATCCAGATCTGTATGGTTCAGTTTTATATTAGGTGCTGGGTTTAACATCAGAGGAACCAACTCTGGGATGTTTGTGGGATTCAGGATACAAACAGGATAGTTTTATCGAGAAAGATTGAGATTATTATCTTTGATGAGAAGCTGGTTAGAAACCTTTGCAATCCTGAGAGCTTTCCCGTGAGCAGATATTGGGGCTCGGCTGTGACCTTGAAATCACTCACTGCTATAGAAAATATAGAATAGTTTCAAATTCTCTCTTACTTTTCAGGTAACATGACGGTGAATTATTGCTTTTAATATTCTGATATTGTATATTTATTTTTCACATCTTTCTTTTTTTCTTCCTTCTTGCTGATAAATATTCGTTTAGCTACCTCAGCTGTTTCCTCTATGCAGAGAAATCCCTCCTGATGATTGGTGAGCTTCCATTCCCCACCAATGAGTATGAACAAATATTTCAGATATGCAACTATTTTTTTGGAGCTCTTATTCTTTCAGCCATTCTTGGTCAGGTATATTTAACTATTGTGTTTCAAAAAAAGAGTTTTTAAATTATTTTAAGATATTATGCTTTTTTTCTTGAAAACGTTTAATTCATTTCATCAAAGCAGTCTTTTTTGTGTCTTTTTTTTAGTTTAATGAACTTAAACTGCTTTATTTTTACACTGGCCTGCCTAACATCCAACAGGAACATCTCCAAATGTACAATAAGCAAAACAAACCAATTATTCCCCGATCTACTGTGAGCTCTTCTGTATTACTGCTGCACTGTGTGCAGGTGGTTACGAGCCCACCTTCAGGAGGTGGTATCATTGGTTCACTCAACTGTAGTATAAACACAGGAGTGTCTGAATCGATTTGAGCACTGCTCCCAAATGGTCCCTTGACAGTTCTCAGATGGTCCATTGGAACCTTGATGGAATTAAAAGTCTATCACCCTATAGTTGTGAATACACAGAAATCTCCTTTTCTCGAGGTAAATACAATTAGAAGCAAAGAGTATGAATCAGTATTCCACTGTCACATCACTTTATTGCTGGAAGTGATGAACAAGGCAATACTTGGTAAAATTACAAAGCAAGGAAGCACTAGTCTGTGTCTAACATCAATGTGGGTTGTGGAATAGACAACCCACAGTTTCTTTTACTAATTTAAACAATGTGCCCTTTCAACTTGCTGAAAATATTTGTGTTCTCCAGGTACCTGAGGTGTTACTATTGGGCAGTCCGAACTTTGATTACTATTGGTGGTCTTCCTGAACCAGTCACTGTGTTTGAAATAATCTTTCAGGGGTGCAATTATTTCTCAGGTGTCTTTGTGTTCTCCAGCTTAATTGGTCAGGTAAATGGACATAATATCTAAGAATGAATCACTGTTCCTTGCAGTGCATTCATTCTATCAATCTAAGAATAGTTCACAACTTGGTGCCAAGCCTAAGGCTGGACGAAAGAATGAATCCACTGCTGGTGGTGAATAAAATATCTCATAGTAAGATGCCTATCACAAAATACTTGAATACCTAGCTTTGCCTTCAATGGGAATTTGACTTCAATGAAGCGTTTTTTTTGCAAATCTTCAGTATTCCATTCAGATTTATGAAATTCAGCAAATGCTTAGATGCTCTGCTTTAAATAAATTACAGTAATACTATCATCAATCCCTACTCAGAAAAACCTCCCTTGACCTATCCCTGTTCCCTAAATAATTGTTCCATCTCCAACCTCCCTTAAATTAAATGACAGAGCAGTTTTTTAAAATATAAAAGTGAAAATTTAAACTCAGGCTGTGAGCGAACCATATTGATGCTGCCATATTAGTGTTGTGGAATTAATGATATAGGACTATCTTTTACAGAAAGTTTTCCCAACCGCACCAAACTACCCAGCCATAGCAGTCTGAAAGAGTAATATCGCATATTTCAAACTAGATTCCCCCTTTTAGCTGGATTTTCTTCAGATTTTGCAAATGATCATTGCAACTTTTAATGTGCAATATGTTTAATGTGTGAGAAGTTTTAACACCATACTTACCACATGCTAGTTATTTTAAAGCTACTAATGTAGTGAGCTCACTGGTGATTTTGTTTTGAAGTGTTTGACAGATTTCTGTTTCCCTCATTTGAAGATGCGGGATGTTATTGGGGCAGCTACCTCTGCGCAAAATTATTTCCGCAGCTCTATGGACAACACAGTGCACTACATGAACATCAATTCAATTCCAAAAATCGTACACAATCGTGTGCGGACATGGTATGAATACACATGGAAATCACAAGGTATCCTGGGTAAGTAATAAGCCCACACAGTCCTTCTCATTTCCAGCCTATGGGCCTTTCCTTGAAAAAAGACATTGTTTATTTCAGACGAATCTGAGCTGTTGGAACAGTTGCCAAGTGAGATGCGATTAGCCATTGCCATGGACGTAAGCTTCGCTACAGTCAGCAAAATTGACCTGTTTAAGGTGGGTATAATTTGGTCCCATTCTTAAGGTGATGAAATGGAGTCCATAACATTTCATGTAAAAAGCATACTGGAAGGATGTTGAGGTGAAAGGCTGGATGGAATATCTTTCATATTTTTTCTTTATTGATGAGGCACCCATGAACAAGATGGAGTCCTATAGCATAGTGGTTAACGCACTCACCTTGCAAGTGAGAGGACCTGGGTTCAATTCCACTTTACAATATATTCTGTGAAGTGCTTTGAGATGTCTCAACGAAGTGATAAGGCACAGTATCAAATGCAATGATTATTTCATAAAATCACTTAACAGCCTTACTTAATCAATGTATAATTTTCTCCTCCCTCTATCAATTGATTCTGTATCTGTGACTTCCACTTCATCTTCACAAACAGTTTCTCCTCTATCCCCTCACCGTTTTGTGCAGCATTCCTCAGGGCTCTGTCCTTGGTCCCCTCCTCTTCATTATCTATATGCTCCCTCTTGGTGACATCATCCGCAGACATGGGGTCAGCTTCCACATGTATGTGGATGACACCCAACTATACCTCTCTGCCTCCACCCTTGACTCCAGGACCACTGCTGTCCTGACAGAATGTCTGTCAGACATCAAATCCTGAATGAGAGCTAACTTTCTTCAATTGAACGTCAACAAGACCGAGACTCTCCTGATTGGCTCCCATGAGCGCCTCCTCACCTCAGGCACTGACAGCATCACCATCCATGGTTGGGCCTCCACTTTACTAAGCCAATCCAGAACCTTGGGGTCTTCTTTGATATGCCATTGTCTCACACCACTGGCCGCCGAAACCCTCATACATGCTTTTGTTACACTGAGGCTTGACTATGCAAACTCATTGCTTGTCGGCCTCCCCAACTCCTCCCTCCATAGGCTGCAGATCATCCAGAACTCTGCAGCCCGTGAGCTCTCCCGCATCAGGCTCCCTGACTCTATCAACCCCATCCTCGTCCTACTCCACTTCATTCCCATCACTCAAAAGTTACAGTTCAAGATCCTGGTCCTCACCTTCAAAGCCCTCCATGGCCTAGCTTCCCCCTACCAATTTTCCTGCTCCCTCCGCTCAGCGGGCTCCAGCCTGCTTCATGTCCTCCGACTCGCTCACCCCACTATTGGTGGACAGGCCTTCTGCCACCCTCTGGAACTCCATCCCTCAGGCCCTTCGCTTCACCCCTCCCTTGCCTCCTTCAAGACCCATCTCAAAACCCTCCTCTTTGACCGTGCTTTCGATCTCCCTGCTTCCCCACTGCCCGCCACTCTCCCTGATCCCAACCCCCAGCTCGGGTCTGAAACTTTGTCTACCAAGTGCCTTGGGACGTCCTCCCGATGTGAAAGGCGCTATACAAATGTAATTTTGTTGTTATTGTTGTTCTTGAGTAATTAATTCTATTGATAACTAATCCTTGACCACAATCGCTTTTCTCCACCAATAAAATATCACCCGCCTCCCTCCTTAGTGCGGGAGACTACACACTCCTTACCTGTCTGTAAATTCAATCTTGGAGGGCAGGTCTTTTAAGTACTGTGGAAAACTAAATTAAGACTGGGTTTAAAAAAAATTTATAATTCTACACAATCTTAAATTTTAAAAATTTTTGGGAATAAAAGGGTATGGAGAGAGTAAAGAGTGGGTAGAAATCCATGTGGAGTATCAACACCGATACAGACTACAACAACAACAACAACAAGATTCCATTTATAGAGCGCCTTTCACGTCGGGAGGATGTCCCAAGGCACTAGACAGTTGGGTCAGGACCCGAGCAGGGGGGAAGTGGTCAGGTGAGGGGAGGGAAGGGAGGGAGCGAGGAGGGGGTAGAAAGTCGAGAGGGAAGCTGAAGGCACGGTCAAAGAGAGAGGTCTTGAGACCGGCCTTGAAGGAGGAAAGGGAGGAAGCGGCAAAGGCACTGGGGGATGAAGTTCCAAAGCCTAGGGGCTGAGAGGCTGAAGGCCCGGCCACCGATGGTAGGGCGGTTGGGGCGGGTGATGTGGAGCAGACCGGAGCCAGAGGAACGGAGGGTACGGGCAGGTAGGTAGGGGGATAGTAGGTCGGACTAGCTGGGTTGAATGGCCTGTTTATCTGACAGCCAAAGACTGGATGGAATCTGGGGCCTTTGATTTCTTTTATTCTCTCCTGATTAATCTTTATAGTTTGGCTCTCCATAGCCTCCAAGTTTCACTAAAAACATAGCTCTTCAACCAAGCCTTCAGTCAACTCTTTCCTTGCTTGAGCTTCCATTCTATTTCTGTAAAACACTTGAAGGTATTATCCTCCACAGAAGACATAACTTGTTGCTAATGGACTTCATTCTGGAAGTTATTTCCTAAGGAAGAGTGTCCAAAATTATGCAGAATAATTCAGATTAGGTCCAATAATTGTGGAATAACCTAATTTATTTATATTCTTTCAAATAGCAGAAAGTATCAGATAACATGGCAAACAGTACAAAGATTCAGCCAAAATTCTTCCATGTGCCTTTTATCTGAGTCAGCAATACAATATCTCTTGGCTTAGTAGGTAATTCAGCACACATTGACATTAAATTGGGAGTGAAAATTTAGAATGTGAAAGTGATAGCTAGTGTGAGACATGAAAATATATACATTGGTACAATGGGGGTGTGGGGGTGGGGGGTGGGTAGACATGTCCTATGAGACTAGATTTAGAATTCTTTTTGGAATAGATTTGAAATTGTATATAATAGTAAAATTGGATGCCAAAGATGAACATTGATCCATTACAAAGCATTAATATTTACTACCTCAAAAAGCACAAATTTAAAAAGTCCCCATATATATATATTCATTTGAAAATGCAACATGTATATTTATAGCCAGTATACGTTTATTGCAAATGCTGAAGAAAATTCTCTATAAAGTAGTGTGTTTTGGAAAAATGAGATTACTTACCCCACCAAAGTGATTATACCAAAACTTAGCAGCCTCCAGCCTTAGACTGTAGCATTTGTCACAGTTGGTAAATTCTCAATAGATAGAAAGTATCAGTGACAGGATAACATCTGTAATAATTATTTTCTTACAGTAATCGAAAGGCTGTACGGTTTTGCAAAGAGAATCTGAAATGAATCTCCATGAGTAACGTGTTACACATGGCACACAGTGTTATTGATTTTGAATGAGTTTTGCCCAAGGCACTGCCTCTTAGCTCAAATCCGAGCATATTGGCTGAAGCTGTCACTATTTTAGATGTTTGATAATTGCACATTTCTTCTCAAGAAATCTGTTAAATAACACACATTAAACTGCATTGAGTCACCCTGTAAATCTACCAATTGAGTAACTATGAATAGTTATATGGACCTCAGCAATACCGCAAATAGTACTACAGCACAGGGAAAAATCACTGAAACAACCATACTGTTCTCAGGGACATTATCGACATAGCAAGATCAAACAAGATTAAGCCATTTTAATAATAATAAATAAAATAACATCATTGCATTTGACATAGTGTTTTTCACTTCAGGAGGATGTCCCATATTGCTTCACATGGTTAACTGTAATGACTCTACATCCTGTAGGGAAACAAGCAAGTCCATCAAGCCTGTTCAGCCATTTTATTACATATAATGCAGGTCATTTTAATCATTTTCAGAATTCACTGAGCAAGAAATGTGAAGAGGTTGCTATTGACTGCATTTTCTGGGCGTTTGTAGCTTCATACCTGCTGTAACAGTTTATCTTGTTGACCTCAAATAGATGTGCAGTCATAACATTTTCCCTCAACTGGTACTTTTATATTGCATTGTCATGTCTCTGCAGGAGTGTGACAGACAGATGATATGTGATATGCTGCTCAGACTGAAATCAGTTGTGTACTTGCCTGGTGATTACGTATGTAAGAAGGTAATCTTCATTTTTCTCCTCTTCACCAAGTAAATTGATTACAGACAAATCTACCCAATTAAATTCAGCTTTGCTAACATATGATTCATCAAAGACTAATGCCAAGTGCTCAGAAGTAGCACTGAAGTCAAATAATAAATTCCTGTGAAGAGCACAAAGATTGTGAGACTTCCACTACAAGGAAATTTGATAATCATGTCAAATTGTAGAAACCTGAGATTTTGATTACATTATAGGCTTGAGTAAGAAATTAGAGCCTTTACGAACCACTGGAGGTCGAGTGGATTCATCAATAACACAGACAATCATTACCTATCATAAAAGGAAATTATACTTCACCGAAAGAGTAAATTTGATGTGAAATTTCGCAAGTCGCTGGGAATGATTACTTCTTCAAAATACACCTTTCATCTATTACTTAAAAGATGTGATGGCTGTGTTGGCTTATATCTTATGTCCCACAATCGTCAATTATTCCACAGCCTTTTTGACATCAATCCTTGTTTGTCTTGTCTTCTGTCCTGCTCCTCGCAACATTGCCTGTGTTCTGCATTATATGAGTCTTGGCCCTTCACCTAGATTTTATGGAAGAGTCACTGAGTTATTATCTTGGAGCTTGTGCTCATGTCTGGGTATATGTAGCAGGTTGAAATTCTCCCAGTTGGTACCTTTTTCATTATTACTTTATTATTTTGTGTGTTATGGTTTTCCCAGATGGATCAAAATGCTTCACAATCTCTCTGTGTCAGCAAATAATGTTTAGAAAAAAAGGTTGCTGAAAATTTTTGTAATATTTTCAAAGGTAACATTTAGGATTTAAATTGCAATTGAAATCTTATAATTCGTAATATGTCGATGGATCAAAAATGTGACTTTCAACACATAGCATTTCACTGCATTTTACAGGGAGGATACTGCTAACCAACAATCAAATGCCACAATACTTCTAAACAGCAGTGTAATGACACAGTCCTGCTAACCAGCAGTCAGATACCAAGGGCAACATTTTGGACAAAGTCTCATACATGTACACTGTCTGGACTATTGATGTGATTAGAGCACAGTGGGACCAATCTGCTAAAGGATTATTGGTTTGAATCTTGGTCTGCTCTGACTTTGTCGGTCTCAGCCAAAGCTGCATAGAGAGGTTGAATTGAATGTAGCCTTCCTAGGGTTCCATGCCTAGGTAATGTGTATGTATGAAAGCTTTAGTAGTTTGGTTTGGATGCTCTTATGCATGATGATCAGTTTCTGCATTTGTCAGCTAACCAGCTGACTGAAGAAAAAAGCCTAAGACTACAGCCAAGGCTTGGGACCTCAGAGCATGTGTTAGGGTACTACTGAAGTTTAACCAGCTAAATTTAACTAGCCATTGCAACACAGTCTGGCAAATTTTCAACTGCCTGTCTGTGTAGGAACTGTTAGGGCTTTAGCTTGCAGGGTCAACAGGAGCCAAGTGGGAACTGGTCACTCCAAGTCCCCATGAGCTGATTGATTTATCATCAGCATTGCCCTGGAGTACTGCAGCACACACAATCAATACATAATGCACTAGGCCATGAAGAGTGCCTGGTAAAATATAGTGAGCAGAGTCCAGAGACACACAGAGAAATTGAGACGATGTACCATTCTGTGGCTGTAAAAACATTAGAACATTGACAAAATCAAACCAGTGGTGCAAATCATAACCTTGGATCATGATATAATTGACTCATTGCTAAAAGGCAGAGTACAAAAAGCAGAAGTCCCAATTCAAAAAAGACAGAGAAAACTCTCCACATGAATTCTCCTGATACAAAGGCTCATTGACCTCAGCATCCGTCCCACACAAGCCACCAAGCTGTCAATACACAAACATGCTCAGGGCATGAATAGGTCGAAGCAGGTACAAAGAGAGCCAGCAGAAATGATACCTGGAATACTTACTTTGTTTAGTCCTTAACACCCAACTATGTTCCGTTCACATCAAAGAAAGCAAACAGTTGAATTTAAAGCAATAGACAATGGCACTATTTTCATATTCTTCCTACAGTGGTTGAGGGTGGGGGGAAGAAGCATTTATAAATCTCTGGATCTCCTTGCCTCGATCCCTTGCTCCCTTGTTATCTATCTTTAAATCCCACCTTAAAACCTAATGCCTCTTCGACCATGCCTATGGTCACTTCCTCCTCTCCCTTCTCCCTTGCTCAGCATACAACTCCAAGAGCGCTCCAAGATCCTACCCTGCATGAAGGATGCTATATAAATGAAAGTTGTCATTGAGCCATTCTTACTAAAAGCTGCAAATAAAAATCAAAACTATTCTAACTTTTTATTGGATCATGGCAGGTTCTTTAATCCCATTTCCCCACATTTACTCGATATCCCTTAATACCTTTACCTTTCAAGCATCTCCTTCATAATGACTTCAATCACTTCTGCTTTCTGTGGCATTGTATTCCACCCAGCTATAGGTGTGTGTGTGTATAGTATTGAACAATATTGTGTTTCATGAAGAACAATGGTTCCTGTTCTATCATTCAATATCCTGGCCTTCACTACCCTTCCTGGTAACTCATTCTAGCTATAACTGCAGTCTGTGTAAAGAAATACATCCTGTTGCTTGTCCTAGGTTTCCCGACAGGCATCACAGTGGATGCAGCGCTTTTTTCTTAAACACAGAGACCAGAACACAGGAGGGGCTGCAAATCAGTTGATAAATTAGTTAGTCCTTAAGCTACGTTCCGTGTTGCAGGGGGAAATCGGCCGGGAGATGTACATTATCAAGGAAGGAGAAGTCCAAGTCATTGGAGGACCAGATGGCAAAACAGTTTTCGTTACCCTGAAAGCTGGATCTGTGTTTGGTGAAATAAGGTAATTTTATAACAAAAACTTTTTTTTTATCAAAAAGATGATACTAAACTTGGACTAACTCCCAGTGTGTTTATTCTAGAAGCAATCAAAATAGTATCTAATGATAGATTATTTGATTCAGCATTTATTGGACTCTTCAGCTTTAAGTATTTCATAAGAATTATATATTTGGGGTTATGAACTATTGCAGATTAAAGGAGTGTCACATCCAATGTGACTTTGATTGTCTCATACTAACGAGGAAAGGGTTATATATGTATGCAAGCTGGATGGAGTCTGTTAAAAACTTTGTTATGGAATATTCATCAGGGAGCTACATGGGTGACATGTCACACTGTGCTTGGTCTATTATTAGTACTGTAATCAAGTTTAATCAGAAAGCTTGTCGTCAATAAAGCTGAAAAAGCAGACTGCACATACAGGTGAGCAGTAGTTTTGTCAATGCCTTGTGGTGATTCAATCTACCACAAGCTGCTGACATGACTTCAGTTACATAAAGTTGCTCTCAGGACAAGCAATACAGCTATAGGCCGACCTGAATACCATTCACTCTCCTCTACATAAGCAACTTAGAATGCTCCTCTTATAACTTGTCAGTCACCACAGGAATTACAGGGGATTTCATATTGAAGGGTTTTAAAATGATTTTTAAAATCCACAAGTAATACTTTGGTCTTCTTCCTGAGTAAGTTATAGATCAAAAGCTTTGATGTGTAGATCCAGCTTATTCCATAAATCAGCTTAGTTCTATTTGAATCTGCTTGCAATTTTGTCCTTTGAATTAATTTTTTTATTTTCCAGTAGAAAGAAATTAATTATTTCTAGTTGAGGGTCTGGATAGGCTGCAGTTGCATCAAAACAATAATAATGCTGCAAAATAATAATTAATCCTTGCACTTGATATAGCACCTTATCATGTCATCAATACTTCTCAAAGCGCTCACAGAATATACTGTAAAGTGGTGTGACTGTATTTTGTGGTTGAATGAGGTTAAACTTGATAATGTCCCACCACATCACCTCAACATACATGCACATTAAAATAAATGCTGGTTCCAATATCAAAGGGTCTGCAGAAAGAGCAGGGAATTGGGGATTAGAGGAAACCGCTTTAGTGAAGAAACTAGTGAACACATAAGCTTAAAGGTCAATTAGCATCCTTCAATGCTGCAATTTCTAAGACTTTATAAAGAGGATAGGGAACAATAATATTCAAAATTTACTGCAGTATTAGTGAAGTAAGAACTTGGTTATAAAACCGTCCTTATCCTTTTTTGTCCAACAGTTTCAGCATTTTTTGATATTTATCTCATATCACAAAACATTGAAATTAAGTGAATTAATTTATTATAATCAGAGGTGCAACTTTTATTAGCTTGTGCACATCAAGTGTGATCAGAGCATCAATTGGTCTGTCCATCCACATGTGTTGCATAAACAACAACAATTTTACATTTACACAACTCCCTTCGTGTCAGGACAACATCTCAAAGTGCTGCACAGGGTCGACGAGAAGACTGAGGTTGGGGTAAGGAAATCAAATACTAGGATTCCAAAACCATTTGTGCCTTCTGTAAAAAATGAAACAGTACAATATCATATCACTTATTCTTACTGGGTCTATGAAACTGCTTTTAATACTTTTACTCAAATCAATACTGAACCGTGAACAGAATGTCCCTAAGCGCATTTAGGCATAGCTGCACTGCTTTATAGTCAAAGACATCAAAGTGAACATTGTATTATGATTAAAGATCCATGCAATAGTCTTGAAGTTACTGACCTTTACTGTATTCTATTAATTTTAGAGGATGTTCTTCAATCTGGTTGTGTTGCCTTGCAGCTATAACAGTTATCTTGGTCTGTACTTCTGATCTCAGATATTTCCCAAAGTGTAGGTGTGAACACAGAATGCAGAATTAATGATGTCTGCTTCTGGTCCTAATGTATTTGTAAATTTCCATCTGTTAATCTGCTTGCATCGCACCATTGTAACTTTAGCCAAATCGTTCTCTATTTATTTTTATCGCAGCCGTGCAGTAGCGATGGCCACTTACAGTAATCGAATCTTGCAAATATGAAAGATTTGGCCAATGTGAGATTTGCTTTGCCCAAAATTTGGAGTATTCAAGCAGATGAAATGAGTTGTTTTGTCACAAGATTTGCTAACCTCATGTTTTGGCCTTGTATGTGCCTCTTGGGCAGAATTATTCCCTAAATCACTGAAGTGTCAGCCTAGCTGTATTGGTAGATCTTTCATCTCTATGTCAGAGGCTGTGGGTTGAAGCCCCAGGTCAGAACTTTGAACTTACTTAGTTTATATTTCCATGCAGTGCTGGAGTTTGCTGCATAGTTGGATGGCCTGTCCTTTAGATAAACTGTTAAACCGAAGTGGGTAGGCAGGATATCACCAAAGATGCAGTCAGAGATGGGTTTTTATAGCTGTGGGAGGGAAAAAGCTCCACAGAGCTTCCTTTTTCATTCTGGGAGAATTTAGATAAAATTATGGGTTAAAATTTGGGACACTTCATAATGCACAAAGTAACAAATTTCAGCTGGAGCTTTTTAAGACATTTTGACTTTTTTGTGATAACATTTTCATGATATTCTTCACTCTAGGATAGGGTGATCATGTTTTGTAAACCAAATCCGAGGACACGTATATATACAAAAACTGAACTCACCACAATTGGTGATGCTGGTGGTACAAGAGAAGCTTGTGGATTAATGGCTATATTTCTCTGATTAGTGTAACTGTTTCAGAATTGTTTTATTGTTCAGTTTGTTGCTGAACTCAAGACAAGCAAGACAGGGCAAACTTGGCCAAGGACACAATACCTCATCCGAGGACTGTCCCCAGAAATCAGGTACGGATTGTCTATGAGGGTGTATGAGGAAGCTTCAATGACATCTTCAGTCACTGTACTATATGAGGAAGTTTCAATGATACATTTAGGGAATAATATCACTGTATGAGGACGTTTTGGGGAAAGCACTGATTGTAGCACTGTCAGGAACAATCTGTTCCAAAAACTCAGCTCTCAAACCACCATATTGAACTCCACAGCAAGTTAAGTGAAGACAAAAATAAATGTGTAACACCAGATGGCATTGCATTGCCATCTGCGTCATCCATCCCACCCTCCTGTGTGTATTGACACTTTGCCATGGCAACACTGCCCCTTTAATGAATGGAGGCACAAAAAATGTCAGCTGCAATTCAAAAAAATCCACATTTTGCAGTGTTGAAAGGTACTTTAAAAATAGATAAACCCTATTGGGTGTATTTTAAAAAAAAGACACACTTGGTTAAATTGGATTTTCCTGCAAAAAGTAAGGATTGATGTTTAACTCTTTGTTGGTTCGGTTTGATGCAGTTTAACAACTGGAATAAATAAGAAACAACACCTCCCAGCAATTAGAGGACAACCATCCATCATTAAAGATACTGAGCTCCCCAAGGAGAATCATTTCTCAAAAGACTATTGACAAAATCATTCATAAAGCAAAGGACAAGATGGAGAGTTATACTATACCTTACTGTGCATACAATGATCTGTACATAATATCTAATTCTTTTTGCTTTTCATTTATTAGTCATAATGTTTTGATCGCTTTGTTCTATTTTTCTGATTCAAGATGTTCATTCAAAAATGCCAGTTGGTAATATGGTAAAATAATCCAATTCGTAAACTATTTTTATCAATGAATTGGCTATAGGGAATAATCTCCGGGGCATTTCTCTGAATTGCATGTGCACATTATTTTCCAAAGATCAATGTTCCTCCTGAGAAGTCAATGAGAATCATCATAAAATACTGTTTGCTTTCAGGCAAATAGCTTTTATACGTCTTGCTTGAGCTATTTGCATACCTCAAAGCGGTTTGCGTGCCCAAGTACCCTGCCCTCTCCCTCCACTCTGCTAGTTCTGGCCTGCTTCATGTCCTCTGACCCACAACCACTGTGCGGGTAAGCTTTCAACCACTTTGCCACCTGCTCTCTCACCACCACTATAACCCACATGAAACTGACCACCTGCTCCCTCAACCCCATCCCTATCCCTCTCCTTACTTCACAGCACCACCTCCTTGCCCCTCTACTCACAGACATCATAAACCTTTCCCTGTCCACTGGTACCGATCCCACCCTTTTAAAAACGGCCATCATTGCTCCTATCATTAAAAACCCTCCCTGGACCCATCCCTGCTCTCAAATTACTGCCCCATCTCCAACCTCCCTTTCTTTTCCAAGGTCCTGGAATGAGTTGTTGCTTCCCAACTTTATTCCTTCCTCTCCCACTACTCCCTTCAAGAAACCCTCCAATTGGGATTCCGCGCTGCCCATAGCATAGAAACAGCCCTGGTCAAAGTGACTAATGACATTTTATCCATCTGCGACCAAGGCTCCCTCTGCCTCCTCATCTCGTTGACAACTCTATCCACTTTGATATCGTTGACCACTCTATCCTCCTCCACTGCCTCTCATCTCAAGCTTCATGGTTCTGTCCTTGAATGGTTCAGATCCCACCTCTCACACCGTCTCCACTTCAACTCCACAAACGGTTTCTCCTCTAGCGCCCACCCCGTCTTGTGCGGCGTTCCTCAAGGCTCTGTCCTTGGCCCTCTCTTCTTCAATATCTATATGTTCCCTCTTGGTGATATTATCCGCAGACATGAGAACAACTTCCACATGTATGTGGATGACACCAACTCCATCTGAACAAAATGCAAAATATTGCAGATGCTGGAAATCTGAAACAAAAACAGAAGTCACTGGGAACACTCAGCAGGTCAGCCAGCATCTATGGAGAAAGGAAAGTGAGATGCTGCCTGACCTGCTGAGTGTTCCCAGTGACTTTTGTTTTTACCCAACTCTATCTCTTTGCCTCCACCCTCGATTTCAGGGCCACTGTCAGACATCAAAGTCCTGGATGAGAGCTAACTTTCTACAGTTGAACATAAATAAGACCGAGCCCCTCCTGATTGGATCCTGTCAGCGCTTCCACACCTAAGCCACTGACAGCATCACCATCATTGTCTCACACCACAGGCCGCCAAGAAGCTCATACACACATTCATAACATCCAGGCTCCCTGTGCAAACTCCCTGTTTGTCAGCCTCACCAACTCCTCCTTCCATAGGCTGCAGATCATCCAGAACTCTGCTGCCCATGTCCTCTCCCACACCAAGCTTAATGACCCTATCAACCCCATCATCGCCCAACTCCACTGGCTTCCCATCACACAGAGCTTACAGTTCAAGATCCTGGTCCTCACCGTCAAAGCCCTCCATGGCCTTGCTTCCCCCTACCTCTGCGACCTCCTAACCCCCTACCAAACTGCCTGCTCCCTCTGCTCAGCGGGCTCCAGCCTGCTTCATGTCCCCCACCTCAGCTGCCTCATCATTGGCGAGGGTGCCTTTGGCCATTCTAACCCCACCCTCTGGAACTCAATCCCACAGTCCCTCTGCTTCGCCTCCTCCTTTCCCTCCTTTGAGACCCATCTCAAGGCTCTCCTCTTCGACCGTGCCTTGGATCAACCTCCTTCCCCCCCTGCCCTCCACCCTTTCCGATCCCAACCCCCAGCTCGGGTCTGAAACATTGATTGTCCAGCACCTTGGGACATCCTCCTGACGTGAAAGGTGGTATACAAATGTAATTTTGTTTGTTGTTGTTGTTGTTCTGAAATTCTTTTCTGATATTGCTCTGTCTCACTCCCTCCCCATCTGTTTTCAAAACCCATCTTCAGCCATATTCACCCTCACTCCCCCCATCTCCTACCAAACTTTGACTCTCACTCCATCTCTATAAAGCACTTGGAGATGATCTCCTATGTGAAATGTGTTATACAAGTGCAAAAATTGTTGCTGTTGTTCGCATTCAAGTCTTTTCTTGGTAACTTTTTCCTTCGTTTAAATTCTCTGAGTCACGAAAAATAATTTGTGGTGATCTCAAGGGCACTCTACGTAGAATGCAAAGGCCTGAAGGAGTTTGGGAATCAAGCCGGGCAGTGGGATTGAAACTACAGCTTGCTCTAAGAGCCAGTGTAGACACAATGGCCCGAATGGCCTCCTTCTGCACTGTAAACTCTATGATTCTATAATAACTTTGAAACGTGTTCTTTCTGCTGGTGGCATTGCATGCTGGGATTTGTAGTTTCATTTCCTCTTTTATCGTGTTTGTTAGGTACCCCCCACTTCTCACGAATGTGGCATTTGCAAACTAGACAACAACAACTTGCATTTATGTAGCATCACTCATGCAGGGTAGCGTCCCAGAGCACTTGGCAGTGGTGGAACACACCGCCGATCATATTATACAGATGTATATATATTTGATATGTATATACTTATATATAATATATATTGGACATCACAATAGCAGCTGAGGATTTGTTTTCAGGTCATTTCTTGTCAAGAAAAGGTCCAAAAGATCTGATAATAGTTTAGAAATCAAAGTTTGTAGGAAATTGCTAAGCAGTAAATCAGAAGTAATATTTAGCACAGCAACTTCAGGTTTGCAAATAGCTCACTTTTAATCTCAAATTCTACAGTTTGCAATGTTTTAAGAGACAAATGGTCACAATATGCAAGGAACTCTCCCATTAAAATAATGTAGGGTGCAACTGAAAATGGTATCGAGGATCAGATTTTCCTCACACAATCCCCCTTCCTCACACACTCCATCTCTCCCACTGATTCTCACTCGCTCACACACATTCACTTCCTCTTTCTAATGAATAATGCTAGGGCTTTCTAATGCACATCTAGGGCTTCAGTAATTGAATTGAACCTTTGCCAGCAGAGTAATAAAGCTGCTGTAGGATCCAGCACCCATATAACCTGACCCATTTCTGTAATAGCACTTGGTACAAGGACAGGTCTAATAACACAAATCGCACCCTCTGGGAGTTTTGCATTTCATCGAACAATTGTATTTTGTATAATATATAGTCATGGCAGTGATGGTAAAAGCTCCTGATGAAAATGTGCAGAAAGTGTGTTTGCCAAGGAAATACATAAATCAGCTTCTTAAATAATTAAAGCAAGGCTTCATTTTGTGCGAAACAGTGACCGACCATGTGGCCCACACTTGTTAAGCACAGGATCTATTCCAAAAAGATTTAAAATTCAAAGAGAAAGATTTTACGCTAAATTAAAACTTTTCATATAATTCCCAACCAGATGACATTAGAGTCGAAAAGGGAGAGGACCAATTTAAAACAGTAAGGGTTTGTTAGTATATTGAGGTACCACTGTGTCACACTGTGGATTCACCAGTGAGCAGAGACCTCAGCTGCAACATGGAGAAGTGCTTCTTTATAGTCAGAGAGTGAGGACATATCAAAGCAGAGAACCACTGTCACCTCCTCACAGACTGTCTGCTACAGAGCAGTATTGCCAAAGGCCTGGGAGCAAATCGCTTGCTGACTTTCTCCTCCAATGAACTGTGCTTTGGGTGGAGTGACAAACATGTGGTATGTGTTGTGATAATTATCACTGGTGATATACCACCACAGCAGAAAATGTGATTAAGTGCATATTTTCGAGTGCCAATACACAACATCACAGCCATCACAGCCAGCTCAATCAGAGTTAAGCAACATCCTATGAAGTGGCACTGTCTTAGGGGAATAAGAGGGGCGGGGGCTCATGAGGAGCATAAACAGGTGTCAGGCTGGCTCAGTGGTCGTACTCTTGCTTTTGGGTCAAAAGCGCTCTGGGACACTACACTGCATGAGGGGCGCTATATGAATATCAAGTTGTCGTAGTAGGTTCAAGCCCCACATTGGCACTTTAACTTACCGTCCAGGCTGACACGCCAATGCAAGTCTGGTGAGGGTTAAAAATTATTATTTCATTATTGTTGTCAGAGATGCTGTCCCTTGGATGAGTGTTATCAAATTATTTTTTGAAACATCACATTTATTTATTCATAAAGATTGGGTGTGACAAACCCTTCCCTCCCTTGACTTCAGCATGCCGATAGCCACATGAATGCACAACCAGTAAAAGATGTTGTGGAGAGGCCAGGAGCAGGAATTCTGGCTGACTTTCCCTTCCCTAAACTCTGGAATGCACAAGGCCAATTCAGCCTTCCCATGCAGCTCAGCAGAGACCAGCAACTCAGCGTGGCCTGGGATTCGAACCAGTGAGCTCTATAAGCTGCAGCTCATTCCACTACACCATTGGGTGTATTGAATAATTATGGAATGTGTTATGAAGATCACATATTAGTGAATTAGTGAACAGAAGACAAGACAAGTTGAAACTGATTAGATTCTCCTGTTGTTGCAGCCTTCTCTCCGGGGGTGGAGGGAATCGACGGACCGCAAATGTGGCTGCCCATGGATTTGCAAACTTGTTCATTTTGGAAAAGAGAGACTTAAATGAAATTCTAGTGAATTATCCAGACTCGCAGAAGATTCTTAGAAAGAAGGCCCGGTGAGTAACAAATAATAATAATAACAATCCTAATAATCCTTGCATCTGACAAAGCACTGCTTTCATGTTGGGAGGACATCTGAAAGTGCTTTATGGGCTATTCTGTAATGCGTAATAGTTATATATTTTGTAGTGAACACAGCAGGCAGTTTGTACGAATAGTGCCCCACAAACAGGCAAGAAGTGAATGACTAATTTTATCTGAGGAATTGTTGGCCAGGTTACCAACAGAAACCCCCTTCTCTTTGCGAATAGTGTCATGGGAGCTTTAACATCCACCTGAACGGGCAGACAGACTGTAATGTGATTAAACGCATTTCCTCTGATTAAATTAGTCCTGGAAAAACAATCTGTCACTTCCACTTCCCTATCCTTGAAACCACACCATCCTTTTGTGTGATATATGGTATGTGGAACAGACTTTGCTCAAGGCAGGTTTTCATCATATGGATCACACAAGGTTAAGACAGGTTGAGATACAGAAGGACTTTTGGCCCATTTGATCTTATCCATCCACAATGCCAACCTCACCATCTTTCTATCACAGCATCAAGCCATTTTGTAAATGAATCCAAAGTCTTGGCCTCAAGGATGCTTCCTGGTAATCCTGTTTCAGTTGTTGATTACCCTCTACGTGGAGAAATATTTTCTGACTAGTTCAATACCTTAAGACCTATGTTTTTGACTGCACTTTTGGCGACCTTCTCCCACCCGCACCCCTCAGTTTCTTATTCCCCGGGTCTGGTTCAAGACAGCTAAGTGAAGCACTTTGAGACGTCCTCCCAATCTAGGGCACCATATGAATGTAATTTGCTGTTGTTATGCATTCTTCAAAACCTACTTCTGAAGGTAGAAATTCCACTTGGGCCTAGGATGACACTATTTTCTCAACCTTTCATAACATGCAGAATTTGGCAAATTCTTAAATACAGTCTTACTTTTGAAGGTGGTTTTCTGTAGATTCTTTTACAAACTACAAAAAAATAACTTCAAAGTTACTTTGCCTACAAATACACCGTCAATATACTTTGCAGTAATTCCTGTGAAGTGCTTTGAAATGTTTTGACAACTTAACAAGGCAATCAAATGCAAAGATTATTTTTATTCTGAATCTAATAATTTACCGATTGCTACACACTCAGGGATTCTAAGAAAAAGAATAAAGAATTTCTTCCCCATCAACCTCCTCAGAGATGTGAATAACCATAGATAAAATCTCTAATGTTCCTTCGACTCACTCCCTCCCTCACCTTGTTCAAGACGGTTTTGAGATCTATCTTCGAGCGCATTTTTGTCTTCTTTCTCCTCCCCACTCTTCTGAGCTCTCACCTCCAGCTCGGGTGCTTGGGATGTTCCTCTGACATGAAAGCACTATACCAAATGCAAGGATTTTTTTATCATTATTATTATTATTACCAACCTCATATTTACTAAAAATCCCCTCAAATCTTTCCAAATTTCCACTTTTTCTAAAGAACTATGAGCACTTTGCAACTCTCCAAATTTAACTATTGCACTTTTTAGTATATTAACATTTACAAGCTAAAAGCTGTCTACGTTGTTACATCTGGCTTATGGTGATGTACAATGTCTTTGATATTCTTGATAATTCAGATCTAATATGACCTGATACAAGCCCTTAATTTGTACAGACTTATAGAATTGCTAATGGACTTGTTAGCTTCAACATAATGGGAGATAACATTCATTCAAATTTAACATGCATGAACAGCAGTAACTTAGTGTTATTTTTTCAGCTAAGACTTTGGAAACAATATTAGCCAGAGACCCGCTTCAGAAGGTTTATTATTAAGAATACTTAACTGTATTATCAGGTTGCATATTCTTTAATTGTATGGACTGATTACTTCACAGTAGTCCTAACTGTGTTATGATTTTTTTTTAAATTATAGGGTGCAAATAGTAACTTCTGTAAAGTTGATAAAAGAGTAAACAATTCATCGTCCAAACATACAGTCTCCCTATTGTTCCTTTGTTGATATTCGTTTTGTAACACATACATATAAAGAGACATTAAATACACTGTGGGCCTTGATCTTTCACCCAGATTTCTCAGTAATAACACAGTTATCACCCATCACAATGAGTTTCCATGGTAGCACACCAATCCCTTTCTTTTTCAGGGAATTTCCATAGTAACATAATGATTTTCCATCAAAATCTCTTATATGGGAGACAACTTTCACAATCAAGCTAGAAACTGAAGCATAGAGCATAGGTCACTATGATCCAGCTCTGCAGTTAGCAACATTGGGCAGACTTCGGGTTAATTGGCTCTTTTACCAGACGGGTTATTTAACACTCCTACTAATCTTTCATTTATACCTGCTATCTTCGTATCTTTTATATGCTTAGTCTCCATTCTAAATGTCCATGACCCTGAAAATAGTAACAATTGTCAGTCAATATTGTCCATCTTCTGAGGGTGAGAAGACACCAGCAGTTCTCTGTTCTGTGTACATTGTTAGCAAGTGCTAAAAAGCATCAGGACTGCAGTATCTAGATCTCACTTGTTTCAGCTGCAGTACTCACTTACTTATGTCTATAGATCGTGTTAACATAATGGAATAAAATTTCAAACTCAAATCTAGATGTATTCAGACGAGCTAACCAAAAAACATATTTTAAGGACCTGAGTTTCACTTGGATACAACGATCTTGTAGCCAAAGAAACTTCTACAAAGATAGTTGTATCTGTTTCATAGTGAAGTATAGGCATTACCTTGCCACATCCCTTGCCATCACAATTGTTATGTAATTCATTGAGCGCACTCAAGTGAGCATGACACAGACTCTTGACTTAATGATTCATTCTTAATGTTACGCTTGAAACCAGACATTGGACTTCCAGCTGGTAGATTGAGGCCTTCACCGGCTGATAATTCAGACATTGTATTTTACTGAAAAAAGATTTAGAGCAGCCTGTATCCCACTGAGTAAGAGTTTAACACCACAAGCCAGAAATCCAATGCCATGTGCCTGACTTTAAGAACTTTACCATTGAGAATAGCTTTAGGAGGTAGGGCTCCCACAGATCCAGTTACAGATTCAGTGATAAATGGCAAGCGTACAGCTAAAATTTCACCAATGAAAATGTTTAAGACTTGCTGCAAGATTTCTTCATATACGGTAAACCCTTGTCTGGTCCCAACACACATATATGTTCAGAATGGTCCCTGACCTGTAAGTGTAACCGGAGTGACACGTTCCAGTGGAAATTCATCAATACACAAATAATATCACCCTCAATTCCAAATCACATTGCAAACACACAAAGTTACCACTGCCAGACCCTTAGGTCTATAGAGCAATAATAATAAAAATAATAATAATAATTTCTTGATTTCCAGAAAATTGCTGTCTAAAGACAAAGGGAAAAGGACAGAAGTCCAACAGCCAGTTCGAAAAGGCTTCATGTGCCTCATTCCACACAAAGAGGAAACTCCCAAACTTTTCCATACTCTGCTGTCAGCTATAAAAACACAGAAAAGGTTTGCTTTTCTGCAGAAATTCAAAGAAGCTGAATCTCGGGTAATGCTATTTATTAAATTGTTGAAGTTTTACAGTGATTTATTACAACAATCTTGTTGTTAATGTTAGATTCATGTTAGAAGGAGCATCAAAGTAACAGGACAATACGAAAACTTCTCATCTGCAGATTGTGAAGAAAGTCTGCACTGGAGGATAGTGGGATATTTGGGATTTGGTTTTGAAAAAATATGGAGTGAAAAATGCAGCATCTTTATAATAAATTATCATTTATATTAATAATCCAGTGATTTTTTTATGTTTGACCATTGAATGAAACCCCTTCCCCCCATCACTCTGCAATATTGGTTGAGGCTCCACCTTGCTAAGCCAGTCCAGAACCTTGGGGTCATGTTTAACCCTCAACTATCCTTTCTACCCCACATCTGCGCCATGACCCGCTCTGCCTTACTCCCCCTGCGCAATCTTGCCCGGCTCCACCACTGTCTCACACTGCAGGCCGCCAAAATGCTCATACATGCTTTTCATAAGACCATAAGACGTAGGAGCAGGCGTAGGCCATTTAAGGAGAGTACTCCCTCTAAAGCAAGTATGTCCTTTCTTAAATAAGGAGACCAAAACTGCACACAATATTCCAAGTGTGGTCTCACCAAGGCCTTATACAACTGCAGCAAGACTTCCCTACTCTTGTACTCTAACCATTTTGCAACGAACGCCAACATGGCATTAGTCTTCCTAGTTGCTTGCTGTACCTTCATACTAACTTTTTGTGACTGGTGTACAAGGACCCCTAGTTTTAGATTCATTACATCGAGGCTCCACTATGCAAACTCATTGCTTGTCAGCCTCCCCAACTCTTCCCTCCTCAGGCTACAGATCATCCAGAACTCTGCAGCTCATGTCCTCTTCTGCACTAGGCTCCGTGACCCTATCACCCCCATCCTTGCCCAACTCCACTGGCTTCCCATTACACACCCCTTACCATCCTGCTCGCTCCCTCTGCTCAGCGGACTCCGACCTGCTTCACGACCCCGCCTCACTCACCCACTATTGGCAGACGGGCTTTCCACCACCCTGCCCCCACCCTCTGGTACTCCATCCCACATTCCCTCCACCTCACCCCTTCCCTTGCCACGTTCAAGACCCATCTCAAGATCCTCCTCTTCGACTGCGCTTTCAATCTCCCTGCTTCCCCCCTGCCCTCCACCCTCCCTGACCCTGACACCCAGCTCGGGTCCGTAACTCTGTCTTTCCAGCGCCTTGGGACATCCTCCCGATGTGAAAGGAGCTTTACAAATGTAATTTTGTTGTTGTTGAATAAATTTGAAAAAAATGCTAATCAGATCAGTTAATGTCTTCTTGGTTATTAGTTTTGTTTTATGATTTTGAATGGCAGTTACCAGTGCGCAATCTAGGTATCCGGTTCAAACCCAGCTGTCCTTCCTCTCCCACATCTGGTCCCTGACTAGGACTGCCTTCTTCTACCTCTGCCACATTCTCATCTCCGACCGTACCTTACCCCAAATGCAGCTGAAACCCTCACGCTTGCATTTGTCACCTCCTGCCTGGATCACTCAAACGCACTCCTCGCCGATCTCCCCAGCTCCATTATTCAAAAGATTCAGCTCATTCAGAACTCTACTGCCCACATACTTACCCAGACCAAACTCTGTACTCACTTCTCACCAGTTTTGGCCAGGCTCCACTGGTTCCCCATCACCGAACAGATCGACTTCAAGATCCTCACACTCGTGTTCAAATCCCTTCACTCTCTGGCACCTCCCTACCTCTGTGATCTCCTCACTCCCCAGTCCATCACCTGGTGCTTCCGCTCGAATGGCATCACCCTCCCTTGCACCTATGTTAGATTGATAGATTCATTCATGTTACCCACCATCGGAGGTCGCACTTTCAGCCACTACTCCCCAAAACTCTAGAACACTTTCCCTCAATTCCTCTGCCTTACCCCCCTCTCTCCTTATTCAAGTCCTGCCTGAAACCTTTCTTCTACAAGCTTGCTTACGGCCACCTCCCCCACCTTCCGGCTCAAAGTCAGGCTCCGCCACTGTCTGAGATGCTATCCTGCATGTTGTGTTATTCCTCCTTTTCAGGAAATTTACCAACCATTAGCAGTATGCACTTTGTAAGTAACAAATGTCCTCCTCAATAAAAACCTTTTTGGGGGTCAGCCAGTTGCCTGACCCATCACCATGCTTAAGTATATCTAAACCAGACTAAGAGTTCCACATATGTATGCCACCTACACAATATAATGCCCCTGAGCCTGAAATGGAATACACACTTTCTCCCTTGAAGGACGCACCTAATTCTGGAGAGTATTACTTGGAGAAGAATCAAAAACCAAACAAATCTTTTAGACAGCCATGATACAAGGTCAATGGTGATATACAAAGTTCATTTTCTAATTTGTCTTTCTTTATTTTGTGAATCTGAATTGTTCAGAATTGAGTGTAGATGACTACTGATTTATAAGGTTATTTTGGGAAGGGTTTGGGTGAAGGAGAAGTGATATCTGACTTGAAAATGACCTTAACAAGCATCAGATTTTATCTTTAACAAAATAGTTAAGTTACTGGTTACAATAGTACTGGGGTTTAAAATGCAATATTTGCAAATACTGTAGTTATAATCAGTGTCTTGATTCTAGATTGTTAAAATCATATTTTGGGTCCACATACGGGTACCTCTATCACTACTGATGGCAATAACAGTTGATTTTGCGACTGATTCAAGAAAGGCAATATTTGTTATGTTTAATTCTTTTTTTTTTGGTTTTCCAGCAAGCCTCCAGAGCATCTAGCCCTGGCCCTTTACCCAGTATCACAGCTAAGAAAAAAACTGAAGCAACACCTAAGGTCAGCAACTTGCTTACTGTTACAGCTCACCATCTCCAGACCGGCTATACACAAGAGGCAGCTCCCTTGACAGTTCCCCAAACTGCACGACGTGGTATATTAAGAGGAATTAGCAATGAATCGCTGGTAATTCATATGACTCCCACTCTCAAATTAAATGAAGGAGAAATCCTTACTGTCGAAGTCAAACTGAAAAGTGACAAGAAATAATCGTCAAACTTTCTGACGCAAACGGGAAACAAGTGGATCAGTCTCTGATGGTCAGTAAACTTATTGACCTCGGTGGATGAGTGAGTCTGCTCATCAGCAAAAGTCAGCAAATTTACTGCGGATCAAAGAATCATGTCAAAGGACTGTACAATGTTTATTTACTTATATGTTATCAATCATACGTACCATCTAAAGACATATCACTTTGATCGCACTTTCGGTCATCTTTTCCCTCTTTGGCTCCCACCCGCAGCTCGGATGCCCAGCCAGCAGTGTCAAGTGCTTTGATGTGAAAGGCACCATATAAATTAAAAACCATATTGTAATGTTTAATTTATTCGGACACAAGCACACTGGATGTATTGTATTGGAAAATATTAAAAGTTACTGACCCCTTGTTACCCCTTGTGATTAAATTTACTAACCTTTTGAGGTGTGCTCTTAGAGTGACCTCCCCCATTAAATATAATTTGTTATGGTTTTATTCTGGGTGTAAATTGTAGTTGTAATACACTTATTACAATAAAATCAATGCTTTTGAACTTGCTATGATCTGAATGTTATATTTGTTTATAATTCTGTACTGTGAGCCATCCTCTAAGATATTAGGTCATTGGTGGCTCTATTGATAAAGGCCAGGGTCAAACAGGTCCAGTGCTCTGAGCTCTATCACTCCCAGTTTTAGAGTAGTCTCAATGTTTTTGAATTAGGAGTAGTTAGAGTCCGAGCCATAGCTCTCACTCTTCACAATGAACTACTAATATGTGGGTATCACATTTTTGCATTTACACATGAGGAGTTTTGCTCTTTAACATTAACAATACCCACTTGCACCGCTATTAAACATGCTTGTTTTGGTTGGTTCATTGTAACTGAAACATAAATATTAAACTATTCATATAAAGACCAGATAGAAAGCTTTGCATTGATTCACAGAAATAATGGTATTTGGACAGTTTCAAATAGAATGCAAAAGAATTCACTGTCTATAAAATACACGTTTTGTAATACGTACAGTACGAAGAGTTTCATGAATCATTCCGCACAGAGAACAATGTCACAGTTACTTCAGTCCATGACCGTGTTTTACGAAACTGTCCAACAACTTGCATTTATAAGGTGCCCTTCACATGGGGTAGCATCCCAGAGCGCTTGACAGTGGTGGAGTCTGACCCTGGGACAGGGGGAGAGGGAGCGGGGAGGCGACCGTAAGCATGATCAGAAAAGAAGGTCTTTAGGCGGGATTTGAAAGTGGAAGGGGGCAAGGTGGAGGTAGGGAAAGTGTTCCAGAGCTTTGGGGCATAGTGGCTGAAAGCATGGCCACCATTGGCGGAGCAGAGTGGGTGAGGGACAAAAATGAGGCCAGAGACGGCTGATCGGAGGCAGCGGGTGGTGGAGTGGGAGGTAAGCAGATCGGATAAGGCATGGAGGTGCGATTGCTTGAAGGGATTTGAAAAACAAGTGAGAGGATTTTGAAGTTGATCCGTTCAGTAATTGGGAGCCAGTGCAGCCTGGCAAGGGCTCGTGTGATGGGGATACAGAGTTTTGTGCATGTTTGTATCTGGGCGGTAGAGTTCTGAATTGATTGAATTTTGTATGGTGGAGCTGGGGAAACCTGCGAGGAAGGGATTGGAATAGTCCAGCCAGCAAGTGACAAAGGCATGGACGAGGCTTTCGGCTGCTGTAGGTGTGAGGAATGGACAGAGGCGGCAATGTGGGGGAGGTTGAAAAAAGTGGTCCTGGTCAGGAAATGGATGTGCGGGAAAAGGAAAGCTGGGGATCGAACCTGACACCTAAGTTGTGCACGGGTTCGGTGGGTCTGATGGAGAGCCTGGGGAAGTTGAGGAGTTCAGACCCGCTGGAAAG